TCACCTCAAGAGAATGGGATAATCAAATTCTGCAAGTGAAGCTCCTGGATTGACATATTTCAACTGTTGGGAATGCCAGTTCAGACACCAGCCCTTTCCACCTACTTCCAAGGCCTTGGCATGTAAACGGAGCTCCTACAGCATGCTGCCTGGGTATGGCCGAGCGAAGCAGCATTCACAGAAATCCTGGCTCTTCCAGGGCACAGAGTTCTACTGAACTGGGGATTTTCACATCCTTCTTTCATTGCTGCACAGCTTGCTGGGCATTATGCCCACCCAAGAAGGACACAGTTCAGAGCAGGGTGCTTGGGACTGGTTTGGAAATAAAAATGTGAATAACCAGCACTTCTACAGTGTTTGGATACACTTCTTCACGGCACTTTTCAAACATTAACCACTGCAAACAATTGCTATTATGATGAGGTGGATTGTGCCTGACTCTGATGTGAGTCATTAAAGAGGTGGAGACAAGAAGCCTCACCCTTTCACAGCAGGTCCTGTGCAAGAACTCACTCACAACATTGAAATGGCAGTTGCTAGACCAAAGCAATAGGACAGAGAATCAGCCTTCCATTGCACAAGCCTCCACAGAAGACTCATTTGAACAAATGAGCACCACAGCTTTGAGCATTTGTCCCAGACAGAGAGGAACAAGGATCTACTGCAGTTTTGGGGGAGTATCTGTTAATGTGGGCTCAACTACTGAACAGTCTTATATGAATTAGCAGTTCTGGATTCAGCCAGGACAGTGAAAGCCAGCCAGAAATGCTGAAAGCCCAACAAGAAACAAAGCCGGTATCCTTGAAAAGACAGAGGTGGGAAAGCCTCTTCCCTAGAGGACATACAGCCCAATCCAGGTGGCAGATAGATCAATAAGAGATGGATGATCCAACATCCATCTCTGCACCCCTTGAGGTAAGCTTTCTGTTCCTATTCACAATACCCTTGCTCATTAATACACAGCCATCCAATGAACTTAAAATATATACCAGACGTTCACTCGATCCAAACCCATCAAGTGCTACCTTCAGTTTTCCACCTTGACCCCCATCTGTCACTGTGCTGGCTCACATGAAGCGTGGATCTTTGATTGTTTACACAAAGAAGGGGCAACAAGGAAAGGGTCAGTTCTGAACACTTTGAGTCTAGCCCCTCCACAGTTGATTGTGCGGTGCATATGGAAATAATGTATATGCAGGTCTTGCTGTCTTCAGTCGTGGCTCAGTTGTCTCTCCCTCTGGTGCCTTATAGGGCAACCAGAGAAGGTTCCAACCATTTGCTTATAGAGGAAATAGCAGAACCTGCAGTGAGTTATGTTGTTTATCTCATTAGTGTAGGAGAGTCATAACTCAAAGCTTGTGTGAAAGGCTGGGGGAGGAGGGGAAAAGAAGGAGGGAGTTATGTGCAGTATTGTGTGAAATTAACCCTGAACTGTTTATCATGAGATGCAGTTTTCTGACTCCTTTAACAAAGAGGACAGCAAGAAAGCAGTTTAATATGCTGAGAACCTGACTCCTCTTCCCTGTTTTTCAAGCCCTCTGTAAGTTAAAAGAGGTCCTGGAGCTTTGCCATTTGTCTTTATACAGTTTTTCAGGTTAGGGATAGTAAATGGCAGTGAACACAGCACACAAGACAGACACCAGGGTGGTTGGCAGAGAATTTTCAGAGCCCTTCAGTATGGGCATAAGTGCATTGTGTACAGCCTGAAAACAGGCATGCTAAAACGGTTAGAGGGATGCTTTGACCCACCATAATACTACAAGAAATAGATGATGCAAAGAGACCCAAGGGAGCACTAAATGGGCTAATAAAAATCAAGGAAGAGGAGAGCAAATATGGGGGAGGAGGGCTGCTTCATTTTGCATGGATTATTCTAATTCAGAACAACAAAGGCATTAGATCTGGTGGCTGATGCGGATGCAGGAAGCTTGTTTCACTTAAGACTCTCTGTGAAGAATGTTCCACCATTAGTCCCCCCCTGTAGTCCTGGAGGAGAAATGCCACTGATCCTCTTTTGCAGAGTAAGCTGCCAAACAGTTCACTATCAGAAGTGAGGAAAGAAAGATTTGTACAGTGAATTTGCTCAAGGTAGTGCAGAGAGCTTGTGGCTGAGAAAGGCAAAATGTTGAGACCTCTTGGTTCCTGGTGTGATGCCGTAACATTGTTATGATGTCTTCTTCTGTAAATGCAGACACCAATGAGACCCATACAAGGCTACCTATGTATACCATTATAGAAGATGCTTTTGCCAAAATATCACTTGTGGATATAGCAGATGAATACCTGCTTATGACTGCATTAAAAAGGATAAAAATAGCAGCCCCTTACTCATAATGAGATGCTACAAGAACAGAAATTCCTTGGATAAACAGATTAGAAAAAAAAAAAAAAAGGAAAAAAAGAAAAGCTAGTTTTGCCAAAGCATAATCTCTTAGGAATGGGGAATTTTCAGCTGAAACAAAAACCCAACTGTGGTCATGAAGCAACCTACAAAAGAAGGGTTAGCCCAGAACCTCAGACAACCCTCAGCTTCTAAACCACATTCAGCATTCAGCAGTCCCAGTAGTTTTGGCAGCTGAAACATTCTCAGGGTATTTTTAATGCTGGTAAAACACCTGTTGTCTCCTGCACCTGAAGTGGCCACATTTCACTATAGAAAGAGTTTTCTGATAGTACTGCAAGACAATACCACATCTACTTTGGATATTAGGAATAGGAGCAGCACAAGGATCCTTTCCTCAGTATATGCTAGGAAAGGGAGAGGGAAAGTTTCAGCCAAGTACTCTTCAGAAGCAGCAATTGCCTTCTTAGTCTGCCCCCAGGATGGAGGGGAAATATCCTATGAGTTCCTCCCACTCCACCTCCTGCAAACTGGCCAGTGGAAGAGGTGAGAGCAGGCTGCACCTTCCCATAATTCCAGATCTGGAGGTTTGGGGGTTTTTTCCATTATGGCTTACAGGAACTTGCAAGTGTATATGCATACCTGTGCATGTCGTGCTTCCAGTGCCCATGCACCCTAGCCCCATCCCTGTCTGGATTCTCCAGTCTGCACTGAAAAAAACCCAAGAAAATACAAATCCTGTTTGGTGTTGGGTTCTGTTCCCTGAGCTAGCAGTGGTTCAGGTACTGAGCCATACTCTAGCAAGGTTCCCCCTGGGATTCAGGAGGACTTCTGAGTAACAGCTCCAGTCTTTGAACTTTCCCTTTCAAACAAGGATTTCAAATGGATTTTTTTCTAACAAAGGAAAGACTGACCAAAGTCTACAAGAACAAGAGTGCTCTTTTCCCTTAAGCTTCACTGAGCTTTGGAAGAGGCATTAGCCAAAGCTCTTGAAGGACATATATCAACTTCTTTCTGCACCTGAGGAAACTGCGGCTCCAGGACTGATATCCAAGTAACTTGTCCAAAGCAGAACCAGGAGTTACAGGTATATTTCTAACCATCAGAACAACATTCATTCTGATAACTGGACTCTCCTATACTTTACCTTGGCTTTATATCCTCCCCAATACAATTCCTCATTTTCAGCATTCATCCGAGAAAATTCCACCTCCACCTCTCCACCCTGAAGATAATTCCAGTCCTGCTTAGAGCAGAGTATTGTGTCTTCTGCTACACACTGCGATCAACAGCATTAAAAGAGCTATGATAACGTGGCCGTAGAAACTACCATGTCAGGCACTTCTTTGGGAAGAGAAAGAATAATTAGGATGAGCTCTCTGCAGTTACCAAAGGAAATCCCTTGCAGGCACAGAGGTTTAGGCAGCTTCTCTTCTATGTGGCCTGTAGCAGGTTTGAGCTCCTATTAATTAAACCCCATGAGGGCTCAGTGGTCAGCCCTCCATACATGCACATGCACACACAGACACAACACAACCGACCTGGTCCCCTGTGCCTCTTCTCCATCCAGATGTAGCAGTTGTTCTGAGCTACCCCAGTCTGTGAATCCAGGAAGGGAAGGCGGACGCTTCGCTCAGCACACAGCCGAGAGTTGTAGCTGCGACAGTGCTCAATTGCTTCTTTGTAGAACTGGTCCCCAAGTCTGCCAAAAGAGACAGGGCAGAGAGTAAAAAAGACTGCACTGCACCCTCAAAAAAAGAGTAGGAAAAAGGGGGCATAAGGTTGGTTTAAAAATGGACAAGCAGAAAAACTTTCCCTGAACACATGCAAAGCTCGCTGACACAAGACACTGCTGAAGCAGATCATGCAGAAAGTGCCACCAAAAGATCAGGTTCTTGGGAACAGGACACAGACCTTTTCAGTAGTGGCATAGCTACTGAATGAGCAAGTGATGCAACCACACTGGCCCATGATCCAGGCTCAGGCAACATATACACCACGGTGAACTCATTCTATTGTTTCTCTTCTTCCCCCATAGTTTGTCCAGCCAATTCAGCAAACCAGTCATTTCATTCCTATGTCACAGCAACTCCTGCAGTATATTTTGACCAAACAGAAAGCCAGCCAAGTTTAGAACAACTTCACTCCAGCATTTGTGGTGTCAGAGAGCCCATGAGAGCAAAAGGACATAGTCCCCATATTGTGTGCTTCCAAGGCATGAAAACACACTCCTTAACAGCTAGGACCCTGTCTGCAACAGTCAGACTAGACGTTTTGTCATAACCCTTCCAGAGTTTTCCACAGTCAGGCCTGAGGCACCAACAGCAGCAGGCTACAACAGCAACTGGTAAGATCCAGCACGGCAAATGCTGCTTTCCTCTGGAGCCCAGTGGGAGGGACAGTTCTAAAGACAATGTCACTTACTTCATAAATAACTATTTGTTCAAAAATTCTGTAGAATCTTCATCTTCCCTTGAGAAAGGTTTAAAACCTCTGCCTGCTGGAGATTACCAAAATCCTCCCTCCAAATTTTTCTAAACAGGGAAAAGCATCAAAGTAAAGCTACCCTGAGGACACAAAGCAGCTGTCACGCTGGAGCATTGCAAAGTTTCAAGGTGAAATTCAGTCGTGACATGAATAGTTAGGGAAGCTACCCATTAGGTGTAAGTTCATTAGAAAATAAGGATATATAGCATAACTTGCTCTGACTCCAATATTCATTAGTGTGCAAAAAGAGTATAGCATGCACAGCAAGGGAGCCAAAGGGATGCATGCACTGAGATGAAAGAGGCTCCCTTTCCTGTTCTATTAGTTGTTTTCCCGAGTACCCTCTTCCGTAGGCACAATTGGCATTTTAAGAGTATATTTTGTTTGCACACCTCTGAATGCCAAATAGGTGCACATTGCTCTGTTTTACCATCTGTGTCTTTTTTCTGACTCAAATCTTTTAAGTCACTCCTCAGTGGCACCTTGACTTCCTTGGGAGCCATACTCTTTTCTCCAGGCTGTACTGGCCCAATATCCTCTCGCTAACAGGAGAGGCTCAGGGAAGAACACAAGATAAGGGCAAATACAGAGGGAGGCACCTCTAGTTCCCCCATCTCACTTCTGATGATCAGAACTTAACTTCCCCAAGTCTCAGGTTACCCAGTGGTGGGGATGTTATGTTTAATAGACCTTGATGAATCTTTCTTTCATTAATTTATCCAACCAACTCTTCAAGCCACTTATCTTTTTCATACCTAAATTGTTGTGTTCCACAGCTGAAATATGATTCATGTGAAAAAAGCATTGCCTTGTGCTTGTTTTAAGCCATCTCTCAATTATTTACAATTACAAGCCTGTAAGTCACTTACAAAGCTTCCACCAGGTCATTTCTCTAATGAGCAGAGGGTATCCAGCATGCTGAGCCCCTGAATATGGAATGAGCACTGCGGCTGGATGCTGGAGCCCACCAGCTTCCCACTGCCCTCTGCCGCTCTGACTTCAGCCACCACATTTCAGAGCATCCCCAAGGGAGAGAAGGGGCCAGTCCTCAACCAGCAGGAACTGCGCACAGAAGTCAGCACATCCTTTGGCTACAGAGACTTTCTAAGAGTTGTTCAGCAGTTTCGTGCAGCACTGAATGCCTTGCCCACCCCCCGCCGACCACCAGCTCCTGGGTAGCAGCTGGTGCAGGGACCTTTGCAGGGCAGCTGAAGGAGAGAGGTCTCTGGACTGTACCAGAGGGCAGAGCATGTACAGCGGGATCCCTCCGGACACTGAATCCCCCCTGTAATGACCTCAAACCCCTTTTTCCATAAAAAGGCAGGGGGGAAGGGAAGGGGAGCAGAGGAGAAAGGAAAAGATAAGCTGCACGACTATACAAAGAATGTGACTAGGAAGAAATGAAAGCTTATTAAAAGCTGTAATTAAAGTTGTACACTTGTGTAATCAAAGTCAGTAACAAGGAGACCCCAGTTGATCAAAGATTAACAGCTCTTTCCACAAACACTTGAGCTTCCACAGAGCTGTGTCAGATTCCCCCAATATTGAGCCAGGGATGCTCACTAACTCCAAGGACTTTACTGAAAGGAAGAGCACAGCTGTGTGACAACAAACTGCCACCACTGCACACGTTTTCTTTATGCTAAAAATTACTCCAGTCATTAGAATATGCACACCACGAAGCGCCCATATTAACAAAACCCACACATCTTGGCAACCCAGATATAAGATCTGGCTGGAGATGACCTCAGTTTCCACCTTCTTCTAAGACTGAAAAAAACTATAAATCTTGGAATGTTGAACATTTGGCTTTAAATTACACTGTCAAGTAGGGTGTAAGGTTAAATTTCCGATTTCTCCAAGAGGGAGAAAAAGGGGGTTGAAATCCTAATGGCAGAGAAGCTACCAAGTCAATGGGTCAAATTCACTCTTGACACAATCTTGTAGTCTAGCTGTTTCATTACATTTATTTTAAGGATTTTAAATACAAATCTTTTGCCTTAAAGAAAAATAATTTAGGAGAAGCATTTAGTCACCTCCATAGTTTAAGAGAGCTTGCCTTGGCTCCACTACAGCACGCATGATCAAAACCTCCAGCCCCTAAGTATTCACTGGAAAGGTATTCAGATACTGGGATCTTGAGGACTTGCCCTGACTTTAATTATAAATGGTATTTTTTTTTAAAAATGACAAATAATCAAATATAGGAAAGTAAAGAATCACTACTTCCTTATGACAGTCATATTTCAGTGGAAAACAGCTTCCCTGCAATTACTTTTGGGTGGTTGGTCATTTTGTTTTACCCTTAGTCTTCACTGGAGTGGCTCTGACTCGTTCCAAATTTCAGCTAGTTTTTTTTAAGGAACTTTAAACTTAGAGATTTTTTTTTTTCCCCCTTTACTTTCAGTACTACATATCTAAACACAGCATATTAGAATCGGGGCAAAAAAAGGGAAAGTACGGTCCTAGTGTGCTCATCACCACAGACTCATGGAGGTGGGACAAATCCCAGGCCCCTCCCAGGAGGTTTACCATGGAGCTAGAGAACAGAGAAGGGCAGGAATAACACTGGAGAGCAAATGAGCTCAAATGAAACTCAAACATATTGTCTGAGTTTAAGCAAGTGAGATACATGAAGAGAAAAAAAAAAAATAAACGGACAACATTAATAGTAAAAAGTGTATCATATGTCAGAAAGATTAATTATCTGATGTTACATGCTTCATAGTTTTCCCAAGCTGTGTTGCTGTGGAAGACTTACACTTCATCTCCTGAAAAAGTATCTGTAAAGACTATAGGGAATTTCTGCATTATTTTTATGAAAAGTATGTATGAGTCAGTGCTGTGCTGTGACTGACTGCAAGGGTCAACTCTTCCCTTTGGACATGGGAGTGAAAGGTTGCACAGACTCGTCTAGATTGATATTAATGACACAAAATCATCAGCATATGCGTAGATTTCAAAGATGCTGGGGAAATAAAATCAGGGAGCAGACATGAACAACTGCTGGCCAAGGAAGGCAAATCATACTGAAAGCAACACAACTGGAAATACAGAATAAAGTTGTCAGCACACTGTGAAAAGCACAGAGGCCCTCGGTGCAGGGCCACAGGTGAAATCCCAGATACTTGGGTCCAGCGGGCCGGCGACACTGCTAGCACGTGTGCAGGCTCTGCATTTACATTCCAGCCCGAGGACACTAAAATAACCTGGTTCTGGATGACTAATAAAAGCTCCCTGGCTTGGAAAAGAACAACCTATGCTATTACAATCTTCTGCAAGGTTGCATAGGAGGGGTATATGCCTAGTAGGAGTCAGGGGCTCTTTTTTGGTGAAAAAGGGCAGGACTAAACCTAAACAGCAGGCTCGGAGCAGCGGAAGCGCAGCATGAACAGGGAGGCAAGCACTCCGAAAGCACCACCAGCCCCGTGGGTCCTGGGACAGCAATGCAAGGCTGGTGCAATTCTATGAGCCTTGCAGGTAGTCACTGGCATGAGAGCACACACCAGGATGGAGGATCAGACCCTGTGACTTTCATGAGGTCGCTGTCCTTTTAAGTGTCAAGAAACTGAGGTTTTCTATCATGGAATCAGGTCAGCTAATAAAAAAGTCAGCAATGAACAACCCTTCCCTTCTCTCAACCTTTGCCTGCCTGCTCTAACTAGATTTCTGAGCAGATTCCAACTTACTACTTTTCTGTACAGTACCTAGTGCCATGACTCCTCTGTCTAGGCATGCCTTAAACAAAACACCAAAAAAAAAACCAACAACAACAAAAAAAAACCACCAAGAACTGGCCTGGTTTATAAGCCCGTAAGTTAGCAACAAGGACCAAGAGCCTGGCTTCACTCCAGCTGCTTCAGGATGTTAATTTCTCTGCTGACAAGGGATCCTGGTGGGCCCTGAAAGCAGCGGAGCAGCTCCCTACCGCTACTTTCCAGCCCCTCCTGCAAAGTTCCAGCTACTTGAGTGTGCTACACCTTTTACAAACACTACAAAATGGGCAGAATCTAACGCGCCCCTCCTGCAGTGCCTATCACATTTCAGGTATGGATCCAGAGAAGAGCAGCACTCACTGAAGACATATAACCAGCCAAGCTCAACCATGATTACAGGCCCACATCACCTCTGGAAAACTTGTAGAACAAAGAACCGGTCCACCTTAAGTGCAGCTCTTACATTTCCACCAGATCCTCTGAGTATGAATCCA